CCCACCAAGCGCTGCTTGGAGGAAAGTTAAAGTTATTTCTTCCTATAAAGAATTAGAGGCTGGGAAACGCTGTGTAGGGTCACTAAGAGGCACAGTCAATTTGATGTCAGCAGGTAAATAACTTTACATTTGTAACATTCTGTTTTGTTAAAGATATTACAAAAAAAAAAACAACCAAGCCCCAAACCCTAGATCATTCAGTTTATTAGAAAAATGCCTTCCATCTGTTACACGAATGTCTCTCTTGCAATGATGCATTCGCGTTTATTCTGGTTGTTCGCCACGCCATCTGTCTAGGAAGAAAGGCCCTGAGTCAGACAGGCCCATTTACTCAGGTCAATAAATGGTAAAATCTTTGCCCCTAGTACCTGAAATGGAATAAAATTAACCCCTGAGGTAAAAATTCAATGAGTCAATAGCTAATTTCCAGATTCAGGACATTTTAAAAAGAATTCTTTCTTTCTTGTTCTGTAAAATTATCTATCTTATAAGGAATAGAAAAATAAGTCAAGGGGGAAAATTCACTATTTTCACCTTCTAGTTTGAAGTTTACTAAAACATTCTAATTATTTCACTGACCTGAAAATCTTATTTCTAAAACATATATTTTAACCTTTCTATATGTTCTAATACATCGGGCTGTGATTAAACCAACTAGGGCAAGATTATTCTTATATTTTGCCCAAATACCAAACTTAACATGACATTGCTAAGTATTAATATCAGATGCTACTATTCAAAATAAAATAAAAATATGGCTAACACCATTAAGAGGTAGAGGCTCTCCACTGTTGGGCACATCAAGCTATCTCCCTGGGAGAGGATGGACAGCTGACTATGATGTCTACTTCAAGTACATGTCCATTGGAAAAGCGGCACCAGCTACCGCAGCCTCACAGTTGTCGGTAACCCATTGTTTCTCTGTTAGCATTGAGAGGTAGCACTGTCCTCAGGGGATACAAGGTGACTATTCCCTTTAATTAGTCCCAACAATCTCCAGTTTAGTGTAACAGCTCCCTAGGACTGGACCATGGAACACCAATTCTATCAAGGAAGCTTCCAGAAAGAACCCATTCTTTGGTCACATTAGTTTTCAGAAACACCACCTACTACAGTCTTCTCTTGCAAATTAACAATGCCAGGAGTAAGTATATTAAAGCCGCTCTCTCAGAAACCCGGCAGTCAAGAGGCAGGGAAAGGAGGGGAGGGGTGAAAGGCTGGAGGAAAACAAAGGCAGGCAGAGGAGAAAGGGGGACGAAGAACAGAAAGGAAGCAGGGGGTGGGAACCGTGAGGGAGGGGAGGATGGTGGGGGGTGGGGTGGAGATGAAGAAGAAATAAGCATTTTCTCATTTCATTTAGCCTGGCATTTCTCCAAATTAATATCCTCATGTGCCCATAAAACAGAGAAACAAAAATTACATCCAATGCAGACTGTCTATCCCTCAAACGAATGCTCTGAGGAAAATGCCCCAGGCAACATTGGCACGGGGAACTATTTCGGAAGGTCGGTCCACTCAGTTGTGGTTCTGACCCGGGGGCGATTTTGCCTTCTAGGGAACATTTGGCAATGTCTAGAAATACTGTGTTTGTTGCAACGGAGTGCTACTGGAGGTTACAAAGAAGATGCTAGAGACACCCATCTTCCGCCTCATGAAGCTGCTAACGCTGCCTCGCAAGTGGAACAGATATGTACAC